CAAGTCCCTTTCAACCTACAGTGCGTACCAAAAGTATGTGGACACCCGAAATTTTCCATTCTCTTGAAAACTGTTGACTTCTGCACAATGCGGCCATCTTTTCAGCTGACCCCTGAGAAGCGATTCTAGGGTGTCCACATACTTTTGGTACGCACTGTGACCTTCAGGTCCTTCCTACCAAATTATTTTTTTAGAAAAATATTCACTGAAAGCCGGGATGAAGCAAACACCTACCTTTTTAACAGCATTGAACATAGTACTACTCTCATAAGGTCCAACACCGTAAAAATTGTACTCTTCTTTCTTCGCAAACTTGCGCTTGATACGAGAACGCAACGACATCGCAGGATTGGTCGCGAAATCGTACATCATCAGCACCCAACTATCGTGATATTTCAAGTTGTCATAGTATTCCGGAGCAATGTGTCGGATCTGGAAGTGAATTAGCAACCGCTGGGTTGAACAGAACCTGCTATTAATAAATCTTAATTGTGTTAGTGCATGTGTGTGTGACAGGAAATATATGGCTCCCCTCGCTTCAGCCTCCAAGCATCCATATTATTAAGCGATGACCATGATAGGACGGGGTGACACAGGTGGGTTGTATAAAGTGATAACGACTAATAAAAGCTGACAAGGGTGTTTGAATGCGAATGCCACCGATTCGCTGTGAGTTTCGTGTGAACTGGTCATTGTCTGCACTCGTATGCGTAATGTAGAGTGGGAGGGAGACATGCAAGATGGATGACACGAAAGTGATAACCGCTGATAAAAGCCAATAAGAACGCAAACGTCAGTGAATGTTGCCCTTTCCTCCTTACGAAAGGAGAGCGGCACATCTGCACTGTGCGTGAAGTGGAATGCAACTGAAGTGATCGTTTGCAGAAAATGACAACTGATAAAGGCTGATAAGGGATTAACGAGCAAGTGAAAGCAAAGAGAAAACAACCATCACAACTCATCACTTTTTGTTTGAAATTCCCAGGTTTTAATTCACTCTTTCTTAATCAAAAACTTAGAGTGCTGATACAGGAACACCAAAGGTGACAGGGGTTTCAATAATCATGGAATCATGTACGAAAACAAAACTGAAGCCTTTGATTTAACAGACAGACCATGGACGCCAGACGTCATGAATGGACAGGCTCTTCAGCGCAGAAAAACGATAAAGCTTCCGGGATAGGGTGGGTATACCAATGATGCTAGTGGGTATGCCAAAATGACAGTGAAACTGTTTAGATAACTATGTTTTTGCAGACTGACTAAAATCCGAGAATTCCTGACAAAATGAACAGGGCAAACCTAAAATAGCTATAGCTACGCGTGAGAAAGCCCCTATTCATTGAATTCTTCTTCCGTGACTACATATTGATAACCATTTGCTTATGTTGCGTCTGTCGTCAGAACTGGTTTGATGATTAATGCCGTGAAATATCAAAAATTTCTCGCGTCATGTGACCATAAAACGCATTACATCAACATCAACGGGCTTAAATGGTACAGTAGTTGCAACGCATTGCAAAAAAGAACCTTTTTCAGTAATTAGTGACTCATCTAACCACTCACCTTAGGCAGATTCGCTCCCGAGACGAACGGAAAGTCATGGTGTTCCACGTGATGACCAACGTTGAACGTCACAAGGTTAATAGGTCCATAATAACTGAAGAAAACATGATAAATGATAATCAAAAGGGTTCATATTTCACTGTCGATACAACGCAAGACTCTGGTAAAACCCACCTATACGTTTCCTGAGGAGGATTAAAGACATAGTGTTCGGAGACGAAGTGACCAGCTAGAGGGTGTAGACCCAAGCCAAAGACGAGACCACCAAACAGATACACAAAAGATTTGACTCCAAAATAGCTGTAGATGAAATAATCGAAACTTAGTTGCAGTGCAATGTTGATCAATTCCAGATCCGTCATCGACTAGAATTATTTTCCAATCAGAGAAGCGATCAAAATCGCATGGAATTCATTCTGCTAGGGCCTTGTCAGCGAGAAATGCTACCGGATGAACCTTCTTTTTTCCAATACATCTACAAACCACTCATGCCGCTTCGCGACCCCGTGTGCGCTCTGCGGACACGGGCGGCTGTCAGACATGAACAGCGGTAAAAAAAATTAGGATGATGGGTAATGATAGAGAAAAATTTCAGTATATAATGTGACATAGGGAATATAAATATCAAAGGAAAACATATGAATCCAAGAAAAGTAGGAAATGTGCTATCATGGCAGTGGAATACATACCTTCGGATATATCACTAGAGGACGAATGCCGTAAAATATGGGCTGCAAAAACATCCACGTCACTTTCCCGAATGTTGTACAGAATGTCCTGGCTTCCCATTCTGTCGGCACATCAGTGTCAATGATATCTTCACCTGAAAACAAGGACGCTTCAGCGTATAATAACTATGAATTAATTGCTACAGAATTCAACTGCACAATACCTTCCCCCCACTTCCATTACAGGAGACATACCGAGGTTCCTATGGTGCTCTATGTGATACTTCTTGAAGGAGACTGACATTGGTACGCACATCGGAAGATTGGCAATAAATCCAAATAGTCGATTCTAAAGCCTGACTATTAGGCGAAAACAAGGTTAGGCCACAATACAATTTTTGACGAGAATGATGTTTTAAAAACACAGAAGAAGACATACGGCAAGAGGTCGTGATGTGCCGAAAGCTTGATTATGACTGATCTCATGCACAGCCAATGTGAGCGCATGATTAAACGTTCCAGAAACAAAGTAAATTTGTAAGGCTATCAATAGCCAGTCAGCATCTGAAATAGATGACGATTAATTCTCATATGCAACTAGTAAGATGTAAACGAAAAGGAGCGGAAAATGAAATATACAAGGAGTATTTCGAAGAATCGCGTACAGAGAGAGAAATTATGTTGATGCGTAACCGAAGTAATATTTTTTTAATCCTTTCTGCGCAGTCTCAAAGCTTTATCGAAGAAATTCTAGCCCACCACTAAAATTAGGATCTACTCAAGAAAAAAAAACTGGCGTGGAAATGCAAAAGTGCAACATTCAGGTCGATTTTGGCTGCGCGAATGTGCCAGTAAGAGCACACACAATCATTACAAGTGTAAACCAGCGATGGGGAACTCCGATGAAAAATAGTTAATGGTAAGCCAACGCCACCCACCCACCATGGGAAAAAAATCAAACCCAGACGTGAAAGCGCCCCTACTGGGAAGTGCGTCTTGAAAATTTCGTTCCCATCACTTTCTGCACTGTCAACAAACAGGTTATAGGAAATTCGGTTTGTTTTATTGCATCTCTAGTGCAACATTGACTGAAAGACAAAAGCTAGTTCAAGGAAACCAGGATTCGATTTGTGTACTGTAATAATGTCGAATGTCACAGCTCCCACGCAAGTGAGATAATTCATATAAAGATAACCGTGAGAGGCGCCAGCTATAAAAAACGAACTATGAACAATAGAACATCTAGAAGCCTTAGACGTCTCATACGATGGGGTAAAATGAAAAATTCAACCAAGATAAAACAGCAATAAAAGGAGTCTGTGCAATGGTGCCCTTACCTCTTAGCAGCCAAGCGAAACAAATTTGTGCCAATACCATACATATCACAACCACTTTGAAAGCTGGATCTTGCCCGAACAGATCTTTGATCTGGGGGTATTTCTCCAGCATCTCCTTGCGTCTTAAAAACGTTAGTTATCGATTATCGAAACCATTAAACAATATTTCAAGATAACTTGATCCCTATCAACAAAAGCATTTTTATTGAACAGCTCTTTCAGCAATATTTTTGGATGGTGCAAGAACCGTTTCAAGACCAGACACATCGAATTAAGGGGACTCAAGCAAGAAGCAGAGAAGAACAGCGCCGCTCAATGACAGAGAAGACCATACCAGAGATTCTACTCGATGTGATTTAAAAGCGCTTCACGAAATTACAGACCGCTTCTTTTCATTTAAGTCTAATCCTTCGCACTCCATTTCGTCCCTTGGAAACGTCTCAGGCGATATCTACCAACTCCTTCATTACGACTCCGAACGTTCTAAAGACTCCACCAATCAAGGAACGGAAAGGAGCGATTCGGTTCACGCCAGTTCGTTTTGCACATAATCAGTTCCCACTAATGCCAACCGTACAAAATGGACTAGACTGCAGGCAAATAATCACACGCTACATACTTGCAGTTATAGTGAAGAAGATAAACGGTTCGAAAAGTAGCATTTCCATATAAAACAACTGCTTCACTTTTCGTCAAAATTAGGCTTCTTATTCGCCCCTAATCCTCACAGACAATCGGTAGACATGTGGTGGACCTTTTTTGCCGCAACGCCCATCAAGGAATCAGCAAACAAACAGGTGAGCAAACAAATACGCTTACCTGCTGGCGTGTGGCTCCTCGTCATACGACCAGGTGAAATCGGCTTTGGTCACCTTTTGACCCATAGTTTCTGAACAGCATTCTGATTTGCAACTTTTTTTTTCACAGACACTGTGAAACTTTATGATTAACGAGCAAAACAACAAGATGATAAGAGAAGGCATAAAGCTCGAAATAAAAAGGTGGTAAGTAAAATGAGATGCTTCCCGAAACGCAAGAGCAGCGCACAATCAGGATTGCGAAAAGGGTTTAATATAAGAAAACAGGAGAAAGAAAGAAGAAAAGAGTGAAAGACGGGACGGACATGAACGACAAAACTGCGAGATCATCAGGATACAAACCGCCGAAAGGAATAACATCTAAAATTCTTACTTGAAAAAGATAAAAGAAGGCCATGTGACAGCATTCCTAGCTCATATTTTGTATGTTTTGATGATTCGGCGACTCAGTAATTCTTATGATCGATACTAACACCTTCCTTTAAAAGCAATCGCTGGATCTGCAAACCGCCAGTTCTCCCAAAACACGAGCTGGGGAGCGGTCTCTTGCGGACAATATGGGACTTTGTTCGCCCTTTTAATACCGAGTTGGAAATTGGCGCTTGCTTAGAACATGGTAAATATGCCATGGTCTGTGCGTTCGCGCCGACGTTGACCGTCTCACAATCCATCGTGACAATGACATAGAAAATGAATGACAAACAACAAGGCAGGGATTCTTATCTAGATCGTCTCAATCCCTACCGAAGAGATCAGCTCCCTCCCATCCACCAAAATCAACTCCCCCTCTTCCTGTTCCCAGTGGGGATGTGACGCAACGCTTCTCAATAATAATGGCAGCTCCCGATCCGCTCTTCAACCCACCAGTTTGGGGGCATGTGCTCAAGGCAAACTGCCACGATTTGAGAGAAATAGGCGATTGTGCTCTTGAGGTGCGCTACACCAGGATACAGGTATATCGGCTCATTCCTTGGGATGGGAGGGGGTATCCAATATAGTGAGCCAACAATACAGGCTTTCTAGACGGCAGAGGAGATTTGGATTTCTCCCCTCTTCTGGGCTTGGTCCTAGTCTCATTTACCATCGGTTTTGTCCACTCCTTCCCCAAAGACATGAGCGCCGAAATTCCTTCAGGACTGAGCCTAGGGAAGAAACTCTGGAGAAAGTGAAGATTGCGATTATTATTCTGTGCCTGGAGCTAAGCCCTAGGGAGGGGAAGGGATCTTGGGGGAGCATGTGAGCAATTTGCGCTTTCCCTGGCGTTTCTCCCCTCTTCTGGGCTTGGTCCTAGTCTCATTTACCATCGGTTTTGTCCACCCCTTCCCCAAAGACATGAGCGCCGAAATTCCTTAGGACTGAGCCTAGGGGGAAGAAACTCTGGAGAAAGTGAAGATTGCTGTCGCTTGTTAGAGTTCCCGCCACCTCCCCCCCTTCCCCCCACCAGTCCTAAAAATAATCCCAGTAATGGCTTACAAAATGGCCGCGATTAATTGGGATACAGCTGCATTACCCCCGTCTTGCAACAGCGCCTCGTTTCGAACTACTCTTCTTATAGCGAAACATTCCAATACCTGCAAGGTGTCGAGCACTCAGCATTTGAGAAGGCCGAAAAAAAGTTGGAATTTTTTCCTGATCAGATGATTTCGCCCACTGAACATTTTCGAAGAGTTGAATAACCGACAAAAGCAATGGCAAACTCGCGTTGTTTTGTGCTTAATTCATCGTGAAAGAGCAGGAAAAGAAGGGTATAAGAGGTCACTCTCTGGGAGACAATCAATGATAAACTGATTCTCATCGATTCGGCGACTTGCCAATTCCGTACAAGCCCTGAACCTGTTCTAGCATGCATAAACGCGAGCTACCATGACTTATACGCGTTCTAGTCCGTTGCGACAAATCTTTTTGTTGGTATATAAGTCACGACGCGATGAGGACTATACCTGTCGCGCGCATTCTGCGCGGCAGTTAATTTGAATGCACTTTCAGCGTGAACACCATGGACGGTCAGGCTGCTTTCATAGTTGCGGTCCGTGTGTCCGTCCGTGCGGACCGCGCGGAGAGGGTGAAAAACGTCAACACGCGCTCTGGCGCACAATGCGTACTTGGCGCGCAGTCGGCGCCTTCCGATCGATAATCCTAATTTCAATACAGTTTCCCTTTTTTGACCTTTTGTGTGCCGTTTTGCGGCGCAATGTGGCTCAGCGATGTGGTGTAACTCACCATTCCTGCTTCTCACGGAACATTCCAGCTTTTCACGCATGCTAAGTGTGCTAAG